ATGGCGCCAGCTTATAAAGGCTGGGCGGTGCAGGCATACAAAGGTCCATGTGGCTATTCCACGCATGTGCGTAGATCACATGGTTGCGTTAATCACATGGTTGCATTGCGCACTCTTATGCAACCATGCAAAGCCATGGGGTCCTGGTCACGTGAGACGCCTTGACCCAGAAATGGCTATTTTGACCTGGAACTGGCTAGGTGGAAGTGTTTAGGTCCACCAGACATGCCCAACCGTGGGGGCGTGTTGTGAATCTATCAATCCCAGCCTGGTCAAAGTGGGTGTGGGCCCCCATTTTGGTCAGCAAAGAGTATGGGCATTCAGGAATGACCATGAAAGAGTGGATTACCTGTCCCTTCCCCATGTCCACGGATCTTTGGGTATTCCGTGAATATCGTTTCATTCCTGTGGCCCCCTGTACCCATGATTGTTTGTGGGATATCTGGCCGAAGGGTTGTTTCAGAATGGAGTGCTGTGCTCTTGTGTTTCAGAAATTTTTGAGGGCTGGCCTCTTAATTCCCTTCTGAGGGGCCCAGAAGAGACATTACTAATGGCGGGGTATTCTGCGGGAAAATAATCTAAGCCCACTGGGTTCTGTCGTCTATTTACTTTACTCCTCTGAGATTAAATTCCATCTACACAGCTTCAGTTCTATTCTTATGCTTAGCTCCTCTCTGTCCCCTGTCCTCCTGTCCTATCCCAGTTCTAACTAAGCTCTTTTTCCTCATCCTCATCTTCGTCTTCCTTTCTCTCCATCTTGGTTCCTTCCTGGTCCTCCTCCAGGACCTGTCTCTGCCCGACCAGCAGCCTGACTCTTACATTACAAAAAAAAAAAAGCTTCCCAGCTCCATACAAGAGCCGTGATAGCCAGTTTCATTTGCAACCCAGACAGGGAGTGAATAGAGGAGGTGGGGTCAGATAAGGCCTGAAATAAGTCAGAAAGGGAATTTATGTGCTCAAAATATATTCTTAAGTTGCTAGGTGAAATGTTACTAGTCTATCATAAACATGCTCAAACTACAATCTTATAGGTGGCTAGGTAAAGACTCGATAGGTCACTAAAATAAAACTGCTTCTATTTTCCTATATCGCCATAAACTGGCAGGGTGGGGTAACTTTGCTGGGAGCTAGGACACCTACCTCATAGCTACATTGTACCTGGTATTTAAAAAAAAAAAATTTTTGTTCTGAGTCAATTGCTCTGGAATGTCACCTGGCCGTGAGAGAAAGGAGGGTCTGGGCTTCATTTGCACAAGAAACGAAGCTATGCCTAGGGTGCTAGAGAAGAATTTCAGGTAAATGTACTGTTCTAGCATACTTAGCACACAAGAAAATCACTGCAGGAACCAGCTAATACATATACAAAAGCTAAAATATCACCAAGACTTCTTAAGCCATGGCTTGACCTTTGGTAAAGTCCTTGACCTTTTCAAGTAATAGCTTTTTTCATAGCAGCTGAATTCCATACATTTTCTGCAGCTTGTAGCACCTGTGTCCACCAGGAAGTCAATGGGCCTCCCCTCCACTTTTAGAGTTACTCAAGGCTCAAGGAGGGGCCACAAGTTCACTGTCCCCTTCAGTCACTCAATTCTCACAGGAAGTGCTGTGGATCTCTTTCTGTATGCTGTGAAAACGTGTTGCTATGATTGATTGATAAATAAAACACTGATTGGCCAGTAGCCAGGCAGGAAGTATAGGATAGGCAGGATAAGCAGAGAGGAGAATTCTGGGAAGTGGAAGGCTGAGTCAGGAGACGCTGCCAGCTGCCGTTGCCATGAGAAGTAAGATGTAAGGTACCAGTAAGCCATAAGCCACATGGCAACTTATAGATTAATAGAAATGGGTTAATTTAAGATATAAAAACTAGATAGCAAGAAGCCTGAGCAATTAGGCCAAATAGTTTAAATAATATAAGCATCTGTGGATCTGAGTGGCTGCAGGTCTGAGTGGGACTAGAGAAAACTCCAGTTACAAATGGTGCCCAACATGGGGGCTCATCCGGGATCCCCCAAGCCCACCAGGACCACCAGCCCACAGAGCCTGAAGAGGCAGCCAGTATGTTTTCTGTGTGTCTTTGTTTACCTGTGTCTACTTTTGTGTTTTCTGTGTTTACTTTGGTTTGGTTTTGGTTTTGTTTGGATATCCTTTTGTAAGTGGGCCTTTGGGCCATTTGGATATCCTTTTTTGTAAGTGCCCAAAATTTGTAAGTACCTGCAGGTATATGTATTTGATTTGTAGAGACGACATGGGTCCCTCCCATGGGACCAGCGTGAGGCTGGCATCTTTTTGGTTTTGGTTTTGTCTCTGGATGCCAGGAGAGCTGTTTTGTGGTCTTGTGTGTTCTAAAAGGTTTTGTTTGCCTTTCTGTTGGAATGTCCTACCTATATGAATGTGTGACCTACATATATGAATGTATGAGAAATGTGGCCAATGTATGTGTGTTTTATGCCTGGGCTTGTATGTGTGTTATGACTCCTAATGGAAGCTGTGCATGGACAGCCTTTGGGGCCGGAGGGACAACATTAAGGCACGGAGGGTTCCTTTGGTTGGGCTGGGACAGACCAAGGATGCCCCTGCCCCACTGCCTCCTTTCTCTCTGGCTGGCAGCAGGCCGGCCCAGGCAGTGGCTCATTGTTATGGTGCAGCGTGGCCTGGGCAGCAACACTGAGGACTGGGTGGTCTGGACATGCAGCAGGTTTGAGGCCGGCCCCTGTGCAGGGAGCCTCAGGGTAGAGGCTTTTGTGGTACAGCGCAGGCAGGAGTCAGCCGGGGCCTCAAGGAGCTCAGAACATGCCTGAGCTGGGCGGGGGCTGGTGGAGAACAGCCCCTTCTGGGTCCTAGTCCAGGAGTGGGCTACAGGTCCGAGGGCCCAGCCGCTCTCATGTACTTGAGAATCTGGGTTTAATAACAATCTTTTGTCTCCATGCTGTGTGAGGTTCTCTTCCATCTCCCATGCTGATGGGTGGGGCTCCTAAGACCTGCCCTGGAGCTAAAACCTGATCAAGGTTTGGTTCTAAGAGCGGAATGGAATGTCACTGCCTATGGTTGCTAAGCTATTGCATCTATGTTATAAGGCTAACCAACAGTTTCTTGTCTGTGGTACAGTGCTGACGCAAATCTATTCTTGTAATGGTATATGCATGTATTTCTGTTCTTGTTTAAAATATTGTAGCTTTATAATATATTCTAAACAACTGAAGGAAATAACAAGAAAGACTTTGGTAAGAGTTTCTGTGTTTAAAAAAGAAAGAAAAATTTGTCTGAAATAAATGTCTGGATGGACTGAGGGTCCATGGGAGGTTATAGAAGGTCAGAAGGGGTCTTACAGAAAGTTATAGAAGGTCACAGGGACTCTTATAGAAGGTTATAGAAGGTTAGAAGGGGTCTTATGGAAGGTTATAGAAGGTCACAGGGGCTCTTATGGAAGGTTGTAGAAGATCAGAGGGAATGTGAACTATGTTCATTGTGGTTTCTTATACCTGCAAATACTGAATTTAAAAGTTAATTCTGGTTGGTTTTCATTTTAAAATTAACTCATGATTCTGCAAACTGTTATGTTAAAAAGGAAAATATAGCTGGGCGGTGGTGGTGCATGCCTTTAATCCCAGCACTCAGGAGGCAGAGGCAGGCAGATCTCTGTGAGTTCCAGGCCAGCCTGGTCTACAGAGTGAGATCCAGGACAGGTGCAAAGATACACACACAAAAAAACCCTGTCTCAAAAAACCAAACAAAAAAAGGGAAATATATATGTGTGTGTATATATATATATATGTGTGTGTGTGTGTGTGTGTGTGTGTGTGTGTGTGTGTGTGTGTGTGTGTGGACATATGTGTGACTTGGGTTTAACTGTATATATGAATGTAAGCTAGCTTTAACTATATGTATATGTATGTAACTTGGATCCAACTGTGCATATGTGTGCAAGTATTATTATTTAGAAAAACATGCTTTAAACAGCAACCACGTGGCTTTCCTCCATCTTGGCTGGTGACCTCATAGGCAGCCACGTGGCTGGCAGCCATCTTTTACTAAGGTTATAAAGATCTATTCAGGTTAACAAAAGCTAACTTAGAAATTTACACCTAAGTACTTACATCTTTACTAAGTATTCAAGAGCAAGCTTCTAGAGAATTTAAATAGATGGCTGCATGTGTTTAACAAATAAGGTATTTGATAAAGCTGCCCCTCAGTGCTTGCTCTGGCAGCTAAACTTTGTGATTTAAGATTTACCCATGTAATAAGATGATAATGGTTTTAAAGACATGAAGGGATCATAGGGAAGAGCTGAGGTTTGCAGATGTATGGCAGGACTAGAGTTCCAAAGAGAGTCCAGCTGCAATGGTGGACCTTAGCAGTTTTGGAAATGACAATGCCAGGTGATGATCACTGGAAGCACCAGTCATAATGAAATGGAACAAGCTATATATCCAAGCCTCTAAGTAAAAGAGCCAAAGGGATTGTGAATAAATCCAAGATATTGAACTTTGGGATTGTTTGCACTATGGAGCTTGGTTTTACTTTATACAGATTATGGTGATGTTATGTCTTCTCCCTCTTAAAATAAAAGAAGGTATTTTATATTGCAGAAAGACATTTGAGAGATCTTAACCTTTTTAAGGACAGTTTTTAAAATATTTAAATTTATAAAACTATGGGACATTTTCAGCTTATAAAATGCTTTATATTTTTTTATTATTTGGACTTTTAAAAAAGGCTAAATTAGAGTCACAGCCACAAGCACCAAATACCAACCAAAAGCTGAGGTGTTCATTTCTTGTGATACACCAACACAATGACCTAAGTAGTCTGGCAAAGGGCTTTGAACAGCTTCTGACTCTATGAGTCTCGACACTTTGGAGGTTAAAAAACCTTTTTACAGGGGTAGCCTAGGACCAACTGTATGTCAGATGTTTACACTGAGATTCAACAATGGAAAAACTGCAGTTATAAAACAGCACTAAAAAAGTTGAGAACCTGCTTTTTCAGGTCTTGGTTCCAAGATGACCAAAAAAAGAAGAAACGATTTTCATGCCAAAAAGGGTCGCGATCATGTGCAGCCAATTCATTGTATAAACTGCGCCCGGTGCATGCCCAAAGACAAGGTCATTAAGAAGTTCGTCATTCGGAACACTGTAGAGACCGCTTATGTCAGGGACACATCCGAAGCAAGTGTCTTCAACGTTTATGTGCTTCCCAAACTCCATGTGAAGCTGCATTACTGTGTGAGCTGTGCTATTCATAGCAAGGTAGTCAGGAATCGATCCCGTGAAGCCTGCAAGGACTGAACACCCCCACCACGATTCAGACCTGCTGGTGCTGCACCAGGACCTCCACCAAAGCCCATGTGAAGAGGTGGCTTAAAATACCTCTGACCTCATCTGAACTCTGTAGCATGGGAACTCATGCACAACCCCCCACAAACTGGCATCCGCATAATTAAAAATAAATAAAAATATTTCAAAAAAAGAAGTAGCAAAGCGAGAGAGAGAGAGAGAGAGAGAGAGAGAGAGAGAGAGAGAGAGAGAGAGATGGCTTAATAAAGACAGAAGAAAAAACACCTTGGAAAAATAAAATGTGACTTACACTTTTATGTGGCATTTGAATGTGTCTAAAATAATGTTGAGAACCAGTGAGGCTTAAGAATGTTGTCTAGAGACCTACTGGGTCTTCATGAAAACTCTACCCTTCTGATGCCAATGGGGAGTGAGAGCCCAATATGGCCAGCTTTGGCAAGCATTAATGTAAGCCTAGGAACTGTAGCCATGAGATTGGATTCTCCAGAAGAACTGCCAGCTAAAGTCGTGCTGTGATCAAGAAAAATGGGCCTTGGAGGTTCATGTTCCTGGAGTTGTATCCATGCTAGTGGATGCCCACATGCTCCAGAAGAGAATTTGACATTGCTGCTGCCATTGTTGCTGTTATAGCAGTGGCGGCCACCACTGTTACTGTTTCTGGGATTACCATTTCATAATTGCTTACTACAGCTAGCACAGTGGAGACCCTGGCAGCAAAAGTAGCTACCACAGTTAGTTAATCTTTCATTCTATTGGGCATGATAAATTTAATCCAATAGTTATATACATTTCCATCAGCTTTGAAAACTATAAATTTATAAACTCAAAAAAAAAGAATGTTGTCTATTCTCCTTGCCTTTGCTAAATTTGTTAAGTTCAAGCTATTTAGATAAACTGAATCATATATATGTTTTATATTGATATTTTGTTTTGGTTTCTTTACTGAACCTGTATTTGATACCAGAAGAGTTTCAATTTAAAATCATTGTTTTAAAGGCTACTTATCATAGACTGTTAGAGAACATTAAATAGTCAGTCATAAATAATCAATTTCTTTGATTAAAGTCATGTTAAGTACTGATGTAATTAATTACAGGGATAAGCTTTGCTCAGGCCCTTGCATATGTTTTCAGGGTTGAGCTTAAAATAAGTAACTAGAAACAAAGTTTGTCTATGTAGACATACCTGGACAGCCCTCATACTTCAGAGATCTGCAGAATATGGCATTTAAATGTTTTAAAAGCAGGCCAGGCAGTGGTGGCACACTCCTTTAATCCCAGCACTTGGGAGGCAGAGCCAGGCGGATCTCTGTGAGTTTGAGGCCAGCCTGGGCTACCAAGTGAGTTCCAGGAAAGGCGCAAAGTTACACAGAGAAACCCTGTCTCGAAAAAATAAAAAAATAAAATAAAATAAATGTTCTAAAAGCTTATTATATCAGACAGACTTCCAGATCCCAGCAGGGACCCAAGGTCTCCAAAGCAGATTACATACGAGGCACCACAACATCTCTGCCTGGATTATGGCAACACCAACCACAGGGCAAGAGCCCCAATGCAACACCTGCTGCCAGGACCCGGCCCAGATGTGGACAAGCAGCAGGACACTGGAATTGATTGCACCCTTTTGCCTGGACAAATCAAGGTCAGTCTTCTGTGTCCCTATTCCATAGGAAAAATACTCTGCCTTATGGGTCTGATGGCGGAAGAAGATGATGCTGTTCTGACTGGTGCCTCCAATGCTATGGAGACCTAGGTAGGGATGGTCCCTGTCATTTATAGGATTGGAAGCTTGGTCTGCACTCAGATATAGTTTATCCTTCTCAGATCTCTGATAGTACTGATGGCTAGGCTAGGTATAACTTTGTCAGTTTAGCAGCATCAGATAACCAGATCCTTTCATAAGGCTATAGCCAGCTTGTTAGCCCATTTTTAAGAAAATGTTTGAAGATATAAAAATTTAAATAAATACCAAAGACTTAAATATGGGTCTAAGAAAGGTCTGGGGATATGAAAGCTTATAGGCTTTGAGGATCTCAAAAAATTATTTAGATTATAAAAAATGTTTCAGATTGCTCTCCCATTCTAGGATATAACAATTCAGAACTTAGCATTTAATAGAGCTCTGATAAGCTGGTAGGGCAATGACTACTTACTGTTCAGTCTCAAGCTCAACATTTTAGACTTATTTCAGCTGTCATCTATAAACCTAGAAGTGCTTCTCATTAGGCCAAAAATCTCTGTCCAATTTATACCTGGCTCTATGGACAGAAGGAAAATGCACAAGCTTTTACCCCAAATCTATAGTTCTTATTGGGACTCAAAGGTATGAGTCCACTTCTGCTGTTTTGCAAATACCCATTACCTGCTTTGTCTATGATATAGATGTCAGTACAGATTGATAATACTAATGTCTCTAAAACTCTTAGGTCATTTTGTAAGATAGTTTGTGTAGGCCTCAGAGGATAAAAAGAGTCATAAAACTTGGATCCACTTCACAAAGGTTGGAAGGACCCCAGATAAGTACAGCTTATTCCTAAGGATAGTATTTTTTCCCTCTCCTAGTCTTGGGACAACTGCTCTTCCCAGTTACTAAGAATATGGGCCTAAGGGTTCCAAATAAGTTCATAAATTTTAACTTCTGTTCCTAGTTTGAGTTTGTCTCAGCAGCTTTCCACTTGGCTGGCAGACACCTCCAAGCTTCAGTTGCTGACTACACTGCTCTAGACTTGCTAAAAGCTGACGTGGACCAGCCCAGCCAACGTGATTGTTCCCTGTCTCTACTGGGTCAGAGAGCCACATGCATCTGACAGATGCCCCATTGCCTTGCCTTTGACTAGCTTTTCAGTCTTTTTTGGGCCCTGACAATGGCGCCCCAATGCCAGTTCAAAGCAGTTCCAGAAGAGAATACGTCATCCCATGTTCCCTGTTCAGAAAAGGTTGAAATGCTGGATCAAAAGGAAACTCCCTGGCATAGAGGCAAGATGGCCAACTATAATGTCCATTGACATACCAGAAAAACAGGTTCAGAGCTGTCAATAGATAAATTTATTAACTAAAATGGTTCTGCAATAAGATAAGACATTTGACTTTCTTTGTACAGAACCAAAGAGATATTATATAAAATCATACTCTGGTTGTACTTAAAGATTAGAACTACAGGGCCTTAAAAACGTCAATAAATACAGATGTCTGCCCTAGAAAAACCTGTTAGCTATTGGTTCATAGGTCCCAGTACCCTTGCATCCCTGGACAAGTAGGACTCATGATTAAGTCCTATTATTGGTACTTGTGAAGGGGGGGAATGTGGAGGAGCCCAAAAGCAGCTTGACCACACAGCAGCCATGACAGGCTTGGGGGCCTAGACACAGCTTCTGGGACAGGCAACTGGCAGGCAACACCCAGATCCAGGAAAAGCCTTAAGCTGATACCACCCAGGGATCTACCCAGGGTTGGGGAAGTACCTGACATCCCAAACATTCTTACCATTAGATAAGGCAGTTAGGTAACCTAGAGTCTAGCACACACCTATTTTTGTTTTACAGATACCCCTAGACAACTGTCAGCCAATCAGGGTCCTGGACCCTGGAAATCCCCTCACCCCAACCTCTGCTGTGATAAAAACTCTGCCCCACCTGAGCTCAGGGCTCTCTGCTCTCACCCCTGTGTCAGACAGACAGAGGGACCAAGCTCCGGAGCTTGAAATAAAGGCTCTTCGCTTTTACATGCAGGATTCGGTCTCTGTGGTGGTCTTTTGGGGGTCCCTGTGATCTGAGCATCACAGTCCCCAGCCTGTCACTCAGGCATTCGCTGTTTCAGTGTCCCAGCTTCTCGCAGTAGGCGCATTGGTCTCTCTGTAGTCGGGCCAATTGCCCGGGCTCTGCTTCACATCCCTCTCCCTACATGCTGAATCCCCAAAAGCCAATATCCTTAAATCCTGCCTTTCACTTTGGGGTCAGCTGATGCTGCCAGCAGGGTCTTAGCCAGCCCCCGAGTCTGCCTGTCCTCTGGGGTCTCCCCGTTACTGGACACTTTCTCAGCTCATGTCACATTAGTCAACTTCCGGCATCCTCCACAGCAGCCGGGACTACCAGAGTCCTTGCCCTCCGTCAGACACTGACTTTCTACAGAAAACCTGTCTCTGTCAGTTCCGCCCACCGCAAGGCTTCCAGCTCCCATCCTTCCCAGGCCATCCTCAGAGACGCTTACATTCACCCTGACCCTTCTGCCCCCTTCTCACCCTGCTGTCCTTCACTGCCTGTGCACCTCTGGCTGTCTGGGCATGGTAATCCTCCTGCCCTCTCCTCCAAGACCCTCACTTTCTGGAGCCTCCAGACTTCATCCCCAGCCTTCTAACTTTCTATTCTAGATAGAAATGGTCCTCTACAGACTTCTGCCGTTCACTAGCCTCCTGACATCCCCCTTGAACCTTGTGACCACCACCTCAGAGCCCTCTACCTTTCCCAGAATTCTGTCATCCTCGGCCTCTAGCCATCCTGCCTAGGCTTACATCCTCCCATTCTATCATGAATCCCCAGACCTCCTGAGGGCCTGTCTAGCCAACAACAATAGACCTGCTCGCCCCCCACAGCCTCCAGACATACACCTAGTTCCCACAACAGACTTCCCCCCGAGTCTCCAGCCTTCTGTGTACCCTCTCAGCCTCCTAACCTAGACTAACCACTCTGGCATCCCCCCTTAGGCTTCCCAAAGCTTCTTTCAACTTCCTGCCCTCCACACCACCTCTAACCTGGCTAGTGAGCCTCTTTCTCACTATGACACCCATTCTTCTATCTGTAGCTTACGGCAGATGTCTGGAGCCAACTGGTTGACAACAGCCAGACTAACTGCAGATCGGTTCCCTGGTGCCTCCAGAGTCAAAGGTGCTCTATAGGCTTCTGTACGTCTGTCTAAGAAGGCCCCTGGTGACTCTTCAGATCCCCCTCACACTTGACTTACTTTAGACAAATTTGTAGGCTGCCTTGCAGCTGACCAGAAACCCCCCCCCCATTAAAGTCTGGTGGTAGACCTTCAGATTCTCCCT